TATATCAATAATTATAATCATTAATAAAAATTAATGTTAAGATTTGAAATAAGCCTGCGAAATTTTATAAATTATAAATCTATTGTCATTTTACTGATGTTTGCAGAATTATTTTTAATGCAGAATAGCATATAACTCATTCACCTACATATACTAAAACCGAACTTTCGCACTTCCGATAAGAGCAATGCGCGATAACATTAGGAGTCGTCGACTTGTTTACACACTTTTCAATACACGATGTACGATAGAAAAAAAGGAAATAATCTGTGATAAACAAAGTTGGAGGGAAAAGACTCACCGTGCCTCGCGCTGTGTCTAAATCCACGGCCAGCCTGCGCGGCGTTCAGATTCCACGACTCCAATAAGAAGAGGAAGAATAGGAGGCCTCGTAATGCTAAAGAGGAGCGGGGCACTCGAACAGCCATGATTCACGAGAATATTCGCAATTCGCGATATCGTCGAACAAAGGCGATCATTCACGCACACGCGAGGCATAAATCAAACCAGAGAAAGCAGAGAAATTCTTTCGACTATGATGTAGTTTTCAGCGTTGAGCCCGACTCGATCCGGACGCGCACGATACTCGTTATTAGATTCCACTTTTATCCTCTTCTTCTGTCTCCTGCTTCCTTCGACGCGCGGATATCATTTCCGGTCACAATCGTCGATCACGCGCGCCAATTCGTACCGGCGTTCATTTCACTCGCGCCCAATCACACAACCGAGTCGTCGTCATAGTCGAAATCGAAGTTAGTCGCGATCGCGAGAGGAACCGGTGCGAAAACAATACGAGAACGATCGGTCGTTAGATCTGATATCGGCTAAGATCCAGCATGCGTATAGCACGGGTGAGGAACACGGGCACGTTCACCTCTCATCGAATTGACACGTCGTCGTATAAACTGTTTAAAAGGAACACGCGAATGGTCAGTTACGGATTTCAGGTTAGTTTACAATTTTCCCACGTGTCCACTTGTTGCAGCGCGACGCGTTCGAATATATTTCCTCTTTCCCGCCAGTTTTGAAGAAAAACGAACGTAATCGCGTCGGTCCTTTCTTGTTCGTTCAATCGCGTGGCACCGTGTTACGCGCGCGTACGTGCACACTTGCGAGAACGCGGGTCATTCTCCGAGGTCGACGGTCGTGGCGACGGGACGGTTTTAAAAAAGGAGCCGCGTTACGGAACGGGTGATACTTACGGGAAACACGAACGGTGTGAGCGAGCGCCGCGAGCGAACTGAACCGAAGTGTCGAGCTACCACCGAGCACGAGCCTTTGTGCATCCATCCCACTCCTCACCCTCGCAGCTTCTATCGGTTACGCCACCCTCAAGGTACGTGTACGTGTTAAGTTGGGAATTCTTTTTTATACCTGGTTTCAGGAGCACTCTCAAATTATGTGGTCATAAAACTCACGTATGAAACAGTTATGGACAGACAAATTGAACTCTGTAGTTTTAACTTTCAGATAAATATATGTACAATTTAACGTGCTACCTAACAATTTGATCTGTAACAATTGTAATAAGTCAAAATCATGTTGTGATAATGAAATGTAAATGAAAAATTAAAGGGCAGGCAGTACGTTTTATATGTTGCGATATCGACTTATCGAAGTGTCAAGTTCATCGTCAGAAACAAATTTAGATAAGTGTAATATATTTATCATGTATGTAGATTTTATAAATATATTTAAAAAATTTGTATTTCTCTTCTGATATTTTGTTTGTCCTTGGACATTGAATGAATTTTTTATAATTCCTGTACATAATATTTTTCTATAAATATATAAAATCTGCAGTCTAATGATTAATGATTACACTTTATAACAGCGAAATGATACGTGTTTTTCGGTTTAAGTTGAAATACATAGACCTATCTAAGACGTTAATAAGTTTTATATAAACAGGTCACTGAGAAAATACTGCACTAATGACCAAATTATTTAAATCTACTGTATAGTTATGATACGTCCTAAAAAATTCTGAGAAGTAGAAAGGCCATCTACCTCCTGTCATGTATGACCTTAATTTTGTCCGCTCATTATCCCAGGTAGTCCAGTTTAGTTTCAAAGAAGCTAGATTTTACGCTATATTAGTTCCGCCCTCGTGTTCGCATTTTTTTTATTAACCAGTTAAGTATTTCTTATTAACAAGTCAGTTAACTTAATTTTAACTTTATCTAATAATTAAATATGTTTTAAATTAGCAACTTATATTATTATACCACAAATGATCTATAAGGATAAATTAATTAGCTCGGTCCAACCGCCCTCGAGTCTCATCTATGTACCTTCTTATCTCTCTCACACAATCTATACTGTTTACTTTTACCCATGTTACGTGCTCGAATAACAAGCGATTCTAGACAATCCATCTCTCTGGATATGCTGCCAAAACCGGTTCCGTTCACTGGCCATATATCTGGAGAGTATTGTGTTCGATTTTATTGCCTTAAAACGTCGGCAGGGCAGCGTACTGTCTTTACATGTGCAGTTATGTTAGAAGTACATTCGGTAATTTTAATTGTCTCCGAAAGTGGTTGAGAGAGGATTCACTTCACCCACGGTCGTATACATCCGTGACCACAGAGAAGATATTACCATAGGAGAGATACACGAGTAGACCTATTGATTTATGGACAGAGGGAAAATGAGACTCCTGTATCCCACGTTCAATTTCGATGCCGACCACCGAGGAAAGATTACTAAAGAGTGGCAGCCTTATGGGACATCACGGCCCCAAAACNTGTTAGCGTATCCAAGTCTAACTCGTGAATTCAGTTCGGACATTGATTTTAAGTAGCCGTACCTAGGATTGATCATTTGGGCAAGGATTTTAAAATAAAAATGCCAAGATTCGTTTCATCCATTTATTTGTTAATCCAAAGGAAATCAGATATTTGCCTTATCGCAATATTTATTAGCGCATACATTAAGTTAATGATATATAATTTAACATACAAATACAGAGATTCTTAAACTAGATCGTAGTTCTTCGCTTGGTACCGTTTCCAAAGACTTTGAAAACGCTACCAACCCAGGTCTCACCGCGTGGAGGTGACTACGTTCGAGACCCGGACAGTGGACAATCCCCACTGCCCCCTTCCCTATTAAATTGCCACCCTATTATACGGAGCGAATATTGGAGAAGGATTTTAGACGATTGCGAACAAGACTCTAACTATTGACTCTAACTATGGACTAACTATTGACTCTAAATGGAAACTAAGGTGAGAACAAAATGTCAGACTTCACTTGGGCACCAGAGTTCGAGCCGAGCAGGACCCTGCACCCGAATGACGATGCCTCAGCGCAGGAGTGGCCTGACCACGACCAATCCGTCTCACGGAGCTTACGCACTGCACCTGGGAATGGAACAGGAACACCCCAGCGACTGACGAGACAGGCCACCCGAGATACAGGACCACAACTCTTTTCTCCCTCCGGTACTCGAGCAAAGTCTGACTGGTAAACTACTATTCGCGGCGCGGGTATACTAAAACGCGAGCAAAATGGATTGACTGAAACGAGAGAAAGAGGGATGAAGTTAAATTCGCTCCGTTATAGGGTGGAATTTAGGAAGGCATACTGCACACTAGTACCGGTACCCACACACTCATACTCATACTCATACCGCACACGCATACTGGGATAGGATGGGAAAAGGGGTGACTCGACCGGCCTAATGCCGATCGAGTGACTCGAGGAGCATCGGGGCTCTGTACTTATACCCTCTCGGAGATCGACGGTTTGGGCAAAATGACGTCTGCGCAAAATGATTGGCCGATTCTTAGATGGCTCGGCTCCTCATTTGCATATTCGTTTACTCCGATAATCGGGCAGGATTTTTTGGGTTAATTCCAAAGGGAATGACCAGATGACCAATTCTAGGCGGTGGGTACGTAAAGTCAGTGATCAATCACAAAAACATGAAATGTTTAGTAAATGGTTTTATTAATATCTATATGCATATCGAAATTTTGTATAAATCGTTTTATTCAACAATCAGTTGCCTATATCAAAACAATATTGCATCTAAAATTAAAGTATATAAATACGATTGGGAACGGTACGAAATTTACAAGGTCTATCCATGTGTCGAGTATGACAGTGTTCACTTCTAGTAATTAACAAATGGGAACACGCGTAGTACATGAAAACGTGTACAAAAGTCGAAGGTACATTAATTTGATTATTCCAATCTCCAAATAAATATTCATTTCCAAAGCATTCACACTTAGGTACTTAGGTACACAGATCACACAACGAATTTCATATAACTTTTTCAATACGTTTCACATAATTTTATCTATCCGTTCGGCTCCATAATTACTTTAATTTAACAATAGTACGTACTTACAAAAAATATGATGTCCTACATTATCTATTGCAAAACTGATGGTATACACGATACACAGTTAGATCCATACAGTGACTATCCTACGAATAAATTTTAATTAAACGACACCAGCATACTGTGCAATTAAATACTAACACTAATACTGACCAGTTCGTTTCAACGGCAACAAATACAGGGATTTTATGTAATAATATACTAAATCACGAAGTTATTAACAGTCAGTCAAGAAGTCTTTGTTGTTCTGTGAATAGTAGTGACACATGTAAATACACGAGTACATGTACTCTACTAATATTTATAAACGCTTTACGTATACTAGTATTTATTCTAATAATAAACGTGCAGATGAAAATTAATTTGCATAATGTGAGCATACTTCTTTGAGTGACTCTAAATATATTAATCTTCTTCTGATATAAATATAAATTTTCTGAAGGCACGGATTTAAATACTCCAAGCAATTTACAATCGAAAAATAATTCTATTTTTTCGAGGTCGCATCATTTTAGCAACAACGTGATAGAATAATTTTTTTACTTGTATTTCAATCATCGTCTACGATACATGATTTGTTAAATTTTTTCTCACAACTTTTTTCACGTCCCGACGGATCGACGCATGGCAGTGATAAAAGCTCTTAACGTTGCACGTTTCATACAAAAATATCCAACCGTTTATCTCGTAAGTATGTAGATATAACAAGACATCGTGTTTTATGATCTTACGGACTACCCGGAAATATCTCCCGTTCGTGCTCTCCTTTTTTCTCTTCTATCATTAAATTCTACGGACACGATCCAAATAAATTGTTTTTCTGTATCGTTCACACAATGAGATTTAATTCCTCGGGATGATGATCTGAACGTGCTACGACGAACGGCCAGTTCCTTTTCGATATTCTTTCTACTTCTCCCCGCAGGAGGTTCAGAAGATCGTCGAGATAGCGTAGCTCGTGGACGTCCTGCCGCAGTTTCGTCGTGTGTGACGAAATATCGGCCATCCTCTGTTCGTCACACTGTCACATAAAATTTACAAAATAATTTAATCTACAATTAAAATCAAGTTGTTCTTCCATTTACATTCATATAAGTAAATATAATTTTATTTAAAAAAACAGCAAACCTGAAAACTTTTTCGTAGATCCGATATATCTCTATAAATGTCTTTGCTATTAGCTTCGAGAGTCTTCACTTTGTTTTGAAGACGGTGTACCAAGTGCTCTGGCTTTTCGAAGTCCACTGGCACAGTCGCGTCCGTCTCGATCGCCAGGGCCAGCCTGGTCAATTGATCGTGCGACGAGGTGCTTTCACAAAAACGATCTTCTTCCAGAAGAACCGCGGCCTTGTCCGGATTCGTGTCGAGGACTTCGAGAATTGATACTACTTCATTGATAGCGGTATATCGTTCCTGTCACATAAAAAAATTGGAATATTGACATAAATTTTAAACTCTCAGAACAACTATTTTCATCCACTTCAAGTGAAACAGTTAATCTGTATTAAAAAATCATAGGCTGTTCGTTAATTTATTTAGTAATAATTAAAAAACCTGCGTGACGTCCAGCTTGAAACTAGTCGCCGCCAATTCGTCGCAGAGACTGAGCGGAGTGTTCTGCAGATCGCTATGCGTATCCGAACTCCAATCGTTGCTCTGGATACCGGAAGTGTCGTCCAACGAAGAACTGCGCGTACCCATTTTTCCGCCGATGTCTTCCCACGTGACGTTCAATTTATCGTAACTGGATTTCTTGACGAGCGGGTCGAACGTTTGCGAACTGTCCGATTTGTTGCGAATGGACATGCTTAAGGCGCTCTCGTTCATCTCTTCTTCGTTCTCGTTGTTAGTTTTTGCCAGATTGCCGCCGTAATAGACTCGCTTGTAATTTCTCCACTGATGCGAACCGGTCATTGGCGCCACTATTTCCTTCAATTTTGGCTCAGGTTTTAATTCCGTCACACCTAAAACTTTTACAAATATTTTATTGTACTAAATTGTTATTTAAATAAAATATTCACGGTTGGACAATATTTTATATTTGGACAGTATTTAAGTACTGTACAATAGAAAGACAGACATCCATTCCTGGTTTTTTAATTCCATCGATCCTAAGATGTTCAGAGAAATTTAATTTTACCAAATTATTTAGACAAAATATTCGCGTTCAATATTTAAATACTATATAATAAAAGATAGACATTCATTCGTGGTTCTTCATTTAAGAAGTCCAATATTTTTTCTCGTCGAATATCACAAACTTGTAAGCAGTAGCGGATTCGGATAACGAGTGTTCAGATACATGGGATGTACTATCGTATTCATAAGTCAGGCGTCGCGCGATCGAGGACAAGTTTAAGAGTGTACAGGCGTTGAAACGAAAGTACATGTATACGTACGTCTAATGAGCATGAAGCGAGTCGATTTCACGTATGGGTAGACCGCGAAACTTTACTGGGTCAGGCATAATAACCGGGTGTATTCAAGCGACCGTCGAGACAAGTTTACGGATTCGTTGTTGCACGTTCCGCGAATGTCGAAACGGCGCATATACGTACTCTTTCCTCTATGAACTGTATAAAATACTCACCAACTTGTTTCGCATCGATAAGATAATTCAATCGCCGTCGGCAGCGAGACGTCTTCGGTGAATTCTCGTTCTCTTCTACGATCCTCGGTTGAGAAATGGACAAATACGGTGGCGACGGCGCGAGTATCCGATATTCCTGAGATCTGACCAATCTTTCCGGGGTGTAGCACACCCCGTGCGGTGCGCGGGACTTCGCTTTCAAATCATCGTAGCATCGTTTCGTAGGCTCCGCTGGAAACGGCGTAACATCCTACGATTCAACAGATCTATTAGGTTTCAAAGTTGATAGACTCCGATAATGGTGCAGGATCTTAATCTTATCCATAAGATTAGCTAAAAATATCGCACTAAATTTTTGTCCTTATATAAATTTTTTGGGTCGTCAGATAATGTAAATGTTTCAATTTCTATTCCTGTCACAATTCTTACTCTTCCATAATTTGAAGATTATAAAAAAATAAGCCAGTGAATAGAAATTTATAGAATAAAGAGAGCAAAAAGCATTAAAATTTTATCGACAGATATTAGAAAATCCACGTGACTACCAGAGTTCCTTAATAAATCAACAAGCATCAGAACTTCTCGACTTACATCTGTTTTCCTAATCGCGTCCTCTTCGATAAGATTCACATCCAGGTCGTCGTGAATCAAAGTCGTGAGCTCTATTTTTTCGCAGCTGTCGTTCCCGCATTCCTGTTTAAATTCCTGCGCGAGGAAGTAGCTCTCACTGTCGTCCGAGTCTATGCACGAGACCATGGATTCAGATGATCCCAACGACTGGCAGTCAGTCCTGCTCCGAGTGGATCGCGGCGACTTTAAATCGCTCTCGTCGCTCAACCACCACCCGAACTCGTCTTGCTTCATTGACGTTTGCTTCGTACTCCCATTGCTTTTCCCTTTTAGGCAAAACAACGTTGACAAGTTCATCTTTCCAACTTGTTCTGTTACCGATCTCTAAATCCCTTTCGGTGATATCGTGCCGCATTAAACCTGAAATCAATAAATAGGAAACTTTAATAAGGTTCTCATACTAAAATTTGATTGACATTGAAATAAGCGGATGTAACAGTGAATTCTGTGACCAACATATCTTCTCGCTGGACATTATTCAGGTTGCTTTTTCGATATATGATTAATTTTTATCGAGATTGAACTTTAATAAATAATTTTATCTCGACGAGTACGCACTTCAAGGAACACTCATTAACTCGATGATATAGTAGTTTCTGTTTGACATCTTCAAAGGACTATTATTATTTAACTTTCACGACGCAGTCATTCGATAAATTCCATCGGTCTGTTAATTTCCATTCGCCGTTTCACCGTGTGTCGTCGCGCAATGAGTTAGCAAATATGCATGACCGAATTCAAGAAACAGTGTCGTTCACCCACTATTTCTAACTTATACGTACTCACACTGTCTATTTACTATTAGTTATTTTTATTAAACGAATTACACAGACTACGATCACAAATACACGTGAACGTATTAAACTTCTCCCATTTTTTCATATATGTAACTGACATAACAGAAATAATAAACATTATTTATAGATTCAGTAAACCGCTGAATGCCGCGGATGTACGGCATTCACCGTTCGAAACGTTAACTATTATTTCACCGATAAACTGTGCGCACTTGGTTATAAGCCCGATAGTAATAATAATAAAGCGACGGGCTGTAACAACATAGTCAAGTGTCTCTCGAACGAATGTAGAACGAGGCGGCGAGTAAACTCATCATACGTACACTTGCTCGGCTTCTGTACGGGCGACGGAGATGAGGACGCAGACATACACAACGTGTATACGTAATCTATACGAGAGCGTTAAACCAGCGATAAATCGTAGCGATCGACGACGGTGTTCGCGCGTCACCACGCGGAATCGATCCACAGATTCGAACTTTATTCCCGTCGCGTGAGTTCTAAGCGAGCTAAGGTCATTGCGAGACTTGATCGCGACACCTCTGTCTGTCTCTCTCTCTCTCTCTCTCTCTCTCTCTCTATCTCAATCTCTCTGATGTAATCTAACCGCGTGGGTTTGACAGCCGTACGAAAGCGCAGCTACAGTTCGACTGTCTCGTTACAAGAAACACCGATTTCCTTGACCACTGGTCGTCATGGGGACACTAATTTAATAATCTCAACGACGCGCTTCTCTTTCTCCCGCGCGTTCCCTCCCTGTCGTCCACCGTTCACTTTAACGTGTACAGCAATCCGCGTCGATTAACCCATTAACCCTCTTCTGCCAAATTGTCTTATACTGAACGCGCGTCGGCGAAATTGCAAAGTGACAAAAATTTGATTTCATAGCAAAATTAAAAAACAAAACATGCTGTGGTTAAAACAATATTTATAATTTGTTAGAAAGATACTGATACATAAACTGCGGATTTTGTGCATGTCTGAACAAACTAGAAAATAGAAACGGTATTATATATGTACGATGCATGAAATATAGGAAATCCCACAGATGAATAAATATTGCAATACTTAAATGATAAAAGGAATTTCGATCCGTGGAGGAATGCATCCTTTTAATTGATTAATATAAGTGTTTTATTTTGTACAACGATAAGCAATCTACAAATACTATACACTATAAATATACTACAAATAAAAGCCATGAGAATTTCTACTCACAATCAACGAACACGTGTACAAATACATTAAACGAAATTAGCAGAAAATAATTAACGATCGTTGATGAATCTTCAGAGTATTTGTTCTTGCCTGAACGACAATACTCTTTTAATTGCATTGCTATAAATGTTTTATTTCGTATAAGGATCCACAGTTCTATTAATCAGTTAATTTACTTATTTCACAGATTACTTCGTATGAAATAATAATATAGGTTTGAGAAATAAAAGTCATGAGAACTTTTCTACTCACAATCCTCGAACAGGTATACGTAAAAGTCACACTAAACGAAATTAGCACAAAATACTTGACGGTGGTTAATGAATCTTGAGGATGTTTTTATTCGCCTGTGAATGAAAATGTTATTATTTCTGAGCGAAAGGTCGCGGGGAAATATTAAATCTTCTCTTCGGCTCCTGTGATTGAACATTCCACTGACCCGTGCCACGGTTTTTCCTCGAGTACCGTAGCTGCGGCTCGGCACGGTGATAAATGCCAGTATTTGTTCTCGATATGGCCTAAATAAATATTGCGATAGTGAGCAATCAATTCTCTTACTGATGCTCCCGGCTGACATATTTGCGGGAGCGCGTTTTGCTCTCCGTAATACTGGATGATTCCCGCTCTTTCACGATACGTCTCTATCTCTGTATGCCCGCCAACAATAAGTCAAATCAGCAAACATTCAAAGTTTAATTACAAACTTTCTTATCACACACTGCTTAAAGAACATACGAAAATGATGGAAATTAGAAATTCGTCAGTTGTCAAATGATAAGTTTCTGAACGTTTGTGAGAACAGTAAGTGGCTCAGATTGGATCAACAATTTCTATATTACAATGGATTTAAGAAAAATAGCCATTAACCATACACGTGTATGAATGCTATATTGATAAACCGGTTGACGTAAATTTTTGTACAGGACTGATAACAGTTTTCAACGCTTTATAAGCATATAAGTAATTAATCATTTTCTTATTAATTTAATTACATACTTTATTTGCACTCTTACATATGTTTTATGTATAATCCAATGCATTGGCACAGATTTTGAAAAGGAATAACTTTCTCTTGAAGTTTTCTCTATGGATCATTCAGTAAACCGAGTCTTCCAGTTTCCCGAAGAGATGCAAATCGACTAATTTTAAAATGATTATTTTATTTTAAAAATCGTTCCAACACTTTTGTTCGCAATTATACATATTTGCAATTCACTGACACTATTAACAATACATATCGATAAGCTGTCAACTTATACATATAATCAATTTGTACTCCATAGAGAGCAATATAGAGAGCAATAACGATTAATATGAGTACAAATGAATGAAAATTACGTGCACTGTCTCTTTGGATGAATGTGAATTTTTATCGCCATGCGCGTCATTGTTTCACGAAATTGATACGTATTAACCAGCACAACCACAGACCTAGCAAAATAACAGCAACACGAGATTTCTAATGAATATAATTACTTCACACGAGTGTTATAAAACGCGTTTAACAAAATAAATGAAATAATATTTCCTATTTCAGAACTTTGTTGCTATTTCATGATACGAAATTTCAGTAATAAAATCCATCGAACAACGTAGTCGACTATTGTCGTTTATAAGTAGTGCCACGAGAACGGCTTTGGCGGTACTAAGCTCGATTGCATTTGCCGCAAAAGATGGAGTCATACATATACATATACACTTTCACGCGTGATCAGATCGAGTTTCTAAATCGAAATCAGGCATACAGTAGAATATCCGACATCCAAATTGATGGGAAGAAGTGTAGTCAGATAAAGTGCCACTTGGTTAATAAATTGAGCTTTGATATAAAAATTCTTCAATTTATATACATCCATTGTTTTATTCATAATTAAATAAAAAACATTTAATCATGACTTTAATAACAATAGTACTTTATGGGAATTTTAAATAATTTAAAGATACACAGCAGGCAGTAATACCTAACGAGGTAGAAAATATCCAAAGTAAAATACAATTTATAATATTCAGAGGAGCAAACGAATGTGTATATATATTCATTTCGTTCCTGTGGCTATACATATAGAGTGACCAAAAAGGTTGGGATCAAACTTGTACTACGTTTCCCTGATGTCAAAAATACATGTCCAAAAATGTTTTTAAATATATTTATGATCTACCGTGACAGTTGTAATACATGTTCGAAAATTCCTTCCTCTGCAAGAATGCAGGCTTCCATTCGTGCAATTAGTGATTACCGAAGTCTTTCAAATATCCCAATTCTATTAGAAGTAATTGCAAAGTAAATGCATTTTGTATACAAAGATCATTTATTTCTATCGTATTTTTATAAACCAATTCTTTTTCAAACGCAGTTTAATTGACTAGTTATTACATATATACAATCATTCGGTCACAAAATATGTTGTAATTATTATTCTGATATTAAGTGCCCTGCAATTTTTATTACAAATTACATAACACATTTTCTTTCTCTGTATATTTGAATATTATGCAAATTAATTTTCCCATACTACGAATTCTACTACAATTTGTGTATATTTCACTGAAATAAGTACGCCAAGACGATATGTACGTACTTAGGTAGACACATGCTGCCGCGCGCAATACGGAACGGCGAGCGATAACGCCGCCGTGTCAGATTGTCTTTGCTATTTCGCTATTTTCCAATAGTCAGCCTGTAGTCTAGGGGTACAATTTACCACCGTTGCGATCTGACATACGGAGACATATAGGTATTCGAGACTACATCTGACTTTCATTTTTTCCGGAGCATTTTTACGGTCAAAGGTTGACCCATATCCATGTCATTGACGTTTCGCTAAAAACTCGAATTTTAATCCGCGTTTTAGAACGAATATTTATGAGCGTGACGTCAAAAGGCCTTGATCTACGATAAAAATGTGATGCATCAACGATAACGTTATCGATAAGCCCCGATGCAATCAGATATACTAGATTTTTCAATGCCACCTGTACCACTTTAATCATATTATAGATGTACAATTTCAATTATTACAATTAAAATATGCACCTATAGCATGCGTATTTGTAGCATAATTATCATAAATAGTCTTACAATCTTTATTTCAAATTATATTATATGTATTTTTTTTATTTAAAGTCAAAAATATATAAATTTGTCTTTTTACATATTAAGTAGGTTTTAATTTAGGAATACATATCATATGGTGTAAACGTGGACAATTTGGAGGTGTACGTACGACGTTGCGCGACAGGGATGGAACTACGATAACGCGGCTTGCGGCAGATTGTCTTTCCACATTTTGCTATTTTCTAATAGGCAGCATGTAGTCTAGGGATAAGATCCACCACCGTACGGATACATACGGGTATTCGAGACTACATGCTAGCTTATCATTTTTTCAAATGGATTTTTTCGGTCAAAGGTTGACTGATATCGATGATGACCATTCCGCAAAAATGCCGAATTTTAGTTCACGATTTAGGACGAATATTCATATATGTGACGTCAAACGACCTTGATAGAAGATAAAAGTAAGGTGTATCATCGATAATGTTATCAATACGTCAGGTGCAATCAAATATAACGGGTGCCATTCTAATATTCTAAATCAATCGGACTCTAATTCTGACCAATGAATACAAATCTGACTATATTTAAATAAGCATTAAATTAGCATCCTAATTAAATATTTGCACGAAACAGCATTTAATCGATGTATGTAAAACCTAAAAATATAGACAACTATAACAATGTATTAATCAATTAGTTCGCTAATTCATTGAAACGTGCGTAGCTCCAACTACTATACATTTTATGGATACTTGTGCTCTTATTGCTAAAATTAAGTGTTTAACACTAAATCTACTATCAAATAATTGCTTTTAAATTTTTCTATAAGGAATGAAAAGGAAATGTAATTTGTGTTGTTACATTTGTATTATTTAATCTACTACCAAACTGACGTATTAGTGTCTACATTAAATTGCACTTAAAAATATATAGTGTATTAATATAACTTAGTGTATTAAAATAACTGTCGGTAGGTTTAGTGTTAAGAAGTCTAAAGGACTTGTAGTATAAGGATAAATATTCTATAAATGATGTATAAGGATAAAAGCATTGCAGAAAATGTATAAGGATAAAAAAATTGTAACTATTTCGTGTCATACGAATTAAGTACTTTATTTTAGGAGTCACCCCGTACATTGGTTATCTTAATACAAAACATCCTTCGCTGATGTTCTATGCGATTATCTCGATAAACGATAACGGGAATCATGCTTCATACTCTGTGCCGCACGAAACCACATGTTTGCTTGCATTTCGCGGTTTCAAACAGAAAATATAGACGCTACGTGTTATACAATCTCCGACCGAGCGAACTAAAGCATAATATATAACAAAAGTAATATACTAATTGTCTAATATGAAGTAATGTGATGTAAAATAAATTCTAAATGAAGGTATTTTATTTTTCATAAAATGAAAATTATGTTCTACCGAAGAATCAAATTTAGAAATATATTACTGGACACACGCTGTTTACCTGTAACAGACATCTGCGTAAAGCATCAGTCGTACTTTACGTTAAATCCGTCTAGCGCAGTGACACACTTGAAGAACGCGATTGCACGGTGAAAGTCGACATCAGGTCACACGGGACCCTCGCGTACGGCCGATTGATGCATCAGAACGACCGAAAGTTGGGAGCACGGGGGATTAGAAAAAAGATCGGAGGGATCGGCGGAGCTTCGAACGAGCGTGGAACAAATCGGCAGGCGAGGAGAGCGCGCTTCCGGTCGTCCACGGCGCATGTACCCAAATATGGCGTTTCTCGCGGAGGAACGAGCGACGACGACGTCGTCGTCGGGTTTGGCGGGGTTTGTCGGATCGATAGCGCGCGCGAGGGTGCGCGGACGCGCGCACACGTCGTCGCGTCGGGGGTTGATGTGATCGTCGCGACCTGGTCGCCGCGCCGCCGTGACTCCGGCGAGTATCCGGCGAGTTTTCAACCGATGTCAATAGCGTACGTGCGTCCGAGTGATGAGCACCGGGGCCGGTAGCTCGTCGTTCTCTACCTCGTCGTCGCCGCTGCCGGGATTCGAAATATCCGCTGGAGGGTGCGTGTACGTCTCGCGGGTTTATCCCCGTGCCGAGTTCCCCGTTTTCCGCGTTCCGGTCCCCGTGCGCGTCTGAGGAACGGATTGTTACACAGACCGGTCTGGTTCTTCCGTGAGTGAGGCTCCATGAGTAAGGTTATACCACCACCGGTGGTTACGCGCGGTGGTTACGCGGAAGCCGGTACGATGGAGTCTCGTTGAGACGGGGAGGCAGTGATATGTCCGTGATGTCACGAGGCTCGCCCTGGTGCGCACCAGCACCCGGGGCGAGAAGATCCGTAATTATTCTGATCGTCGCCGTCCTCCTCGGCTGCCTGTTACCGCGAGGCGTCGTCGGCGAGAAGAGTAAAAAATGTGAGTACAACCCTAATTACTATCGCCATGCACTACTGGCTCGTTTTAAAGGTCTAATAACTATTTTACGATCAGCGTATCGTAAGTACTTTGAAATTTCAACCAGATGGAATCAATGTAGAGTGTAAACGACGTGGTTTGAATGTTTCATGTCATGTGCTTTGCGAAACGTTAAATATTTTACCTATTTTACTGTATTTAATAATTAATTTTCATTGTAAAATGTCTCGTCGGTGAAACCACGTGACATGAAACTATGTACTCTTTACACTTGCCCCATATTTTTCTCTTGGAATTCAGGCCATTCATTACAATTATCAAAAAACGATACTGAATGGATTAATGTGACATACAATAGTCTATTTTAAATATTTTAGATGGAATTTGATTTTTATGGGGAATTTAAATTGAATTAATCTTCCAATCAGAGGAAGTACTATAATTCTATGAAAATTTTCACGGCATCAAAGCAATTTATAAAAGTCAAACATTTACGAATATTTAACAAAATTACGAGAACGTAATTTCAGGAAAAATCGATATGTGAATAAGAAATGATAAAGTGAAGAAATTCACCATGTAAAATATTGCATAAAGGGGTTAGGTAAAGGTGAGGTTGCAGCTTAAAAAGAACTTTGACTTCTTCATTGAAACAGGTTGCGTGCAACGTATATCGATCAGTCGCACGTTCGTTCAGTCGTTACTACGCTACTTTACGACTCTGCAACCGTCCTAATTGCTGAAACTCGCCACGCTACGTTGCTTATTGAATGTTAACATCGCGAAATGTTAAATCCCTTCGACCTAAATTCTTTTATTTCAACCGAAAGAATTTTTACGTAATTTATTCTTTCTGGTACAGTTATATTCCATAGGAAAGCTCGTAATAAAAATGCAGGAAGTCTGCTAATATACTATATTTACGTACTATAATTTTCTAATGCAATGAACTTAAAATAATCAGATGCTAATCGTTAACGCGATTCTCTATGTCAGAAACAAGAATGTTAAAACAAGGGTGGGTCGAGTAAGAAGAAGGCAATTTACCGAGTAACTTCAATCCAAGTCTTTAAACATTAATGATGCATAAGCATTACCCAAAATTCCACTTTACTTCTTTGCCACGTTTAATACTTAATTTACATATATCCAGTTAAAGTTTAAGTGCTCCTGGAAAGTTTCAAAACGATTCGCCAAAATCTTACGAACTATTTTCATATGTCATCATTATCGTACATTTAATATGTGAAGTTCGAATTAGAGAAGACGAGAATGATTTATAAATGCAATTAAGAAAAAATAGATATTTCTAAACTTTAATAAAAGTTGCGGATTATCAACATTTCTTTACTATATGCCAATATTTTACCTATTTTACTGTATTTAATAGTTAATTTTCATTGTAAAATGTCTTGTCGGTGAAACCACGTGACATGAAACTATGTACTCTTTACACTTGCCCCATATTTTTCTCTTGGAATTCAGGCCATTCATTACAATTATCAAAAAACGATACTGAATGGATTAATGTGACATACAATAGTCTATTTTAAATATTTTAGATGGAATTTGATTTTTATGGGGAATTTAAATTGAATTAATCTTCCAATCAGAGGAAGTACTATAATTCTATGAAAATTTTCACGGCATCAAAGCAATTTATAAAAGTCAAACATTTACGAATATTTAACAAAATTACGAGAACGTAATTTCAGGAAAAATCGATATGTGAATAAGAAATGATAAAGTGAAGAAATTCACCATGTAAAATATTGCATAAAGGGGTTAGGTAAAGGTGAGGTTGCAGCTTAAAAAGAACTTTGACTTCTTCATTGAAACAGGTTGCGTGCAACGTATATCGATCAGTCGCACGTTCGTTCAGTCGTTACTACGCTACTTTACGACTCTGCAACCGTCCTAATTGCTGAAACTCGCCACGCTACGTTGCTTATTGAATGTTAACATCGCGAAATGTTAAATCCCTTCGACCTAAATTCTTTTATTTCAACCGAAAGAATTTTTACGTAATTTATTCTTTCTGGTACAGTTATATTCCATAGGAAAGCTCGTAATAAAAATGCAGGAAGTCTGCTAATATACTATATTTACGTACTATAATTTTCTAATGCAATGAACTTAAAATAATCAGATGCTAATCGTTAACGCGATTCTCTATGTCAGAAACAAGAATGTTAAAACAAGGGTGGGTCGAGTAAGAAGAAGGCAATTTACCGAGTAACTTCAATCCAAGTCTTTAAACATTAATGATGCATAAGCATTACCCAAAATTCCACTTTACTTCTTTGCCACGTTTAATACTTAATTTACATATATCCAGTTAAAGTTTAAGTGCTCCTGGAAAGTTTCAAATAAGTATTCATAAAGATATTTTTTTATGTTGTATATCTTATTCTGTCGTTGCATAATATACTTAAGTTTTATGTTTTACGCGTTACAATCAATTTTTTCCCCCACAATCTCTTCTCGCTATTAAAGTGACCACACGCAATATGGGCTACGAGCACGTACTGATCACAGTACTGACAAATAAATTAATGAACACAACAATTACGTAAATTATTTATAAAACGTAGATTTATCGATTTCTCTTATTGTCAGCTTCAATCGAGTTGTATATAAAAAATATACACTGGCCATGGATTTGTTTTCATGCTCTGAAAATGTTTTCATTTAATTTCCTGTTACGTGTTTTCATCAAAGGTGTAAAAAATTCTGTGTGCACCAAATAATCTATCGACGGATGAAAAGTTCATCGTTTGGAGAGTTATTTATTAACGCAGGCAACAACGAAGCTTTATAAACTATACTAGTATACGGTTTCATCGCTGCCGGATTTCTATCCGACCTTTTTTCTGATTGCGCTACCGCACGCTATTCTCGATACAATTTTTCGTGTCGAACACCTCTTTCGACTAGAGATTCTTGGAAATCTATCCAGTTTATTTACCGTAACTGTTGAAACGAAGTATGCAGCGTGCATTGGCTTTCAATTAAAGTTTACACGGGACCGATACTCCGTTAAATGACACGATATTCTGCGCATTCCTGCTCGCGGAAAAATTGTTATTCCTGTTAGCTCTCTGGGTTACGACTGGTTTGACAACGAATGTTTCCGTAAAAGGATTAGTTATTGTCGTCGCAACAGTAGAAAAATATTTGATCTGTTAAAATTTTTTTATAGATTCTTGCATTTTTTTAATGATTTATTTTTACAAGAGCTTTAAATAATCTGTTCCG